TTAGTAATAAAGTGTTCTTAATTAAAGTATGTACATTTTTTTAGACATGATACTATAGCAAACTTAATGGACTATAGTATAGTATATGCTGTACTGTATACAACAAATATTTTGGTTTCCTGGTACATATATACCATAGTTTACAATACATTGTATATATGCATTGGGAAAACAGAATATTTGTGTGGCTTGCTTCATTGTGATAATATGCTTTATTTCAGTGGTCTGGAACCTAACCCACAGTATCTCTGAGATACACTTGTACATATTTCCCCCCTTATTGATTCTCAAAAATAAATAATTTTAAGAACTGAAGAAAAACTAGAGATGAAAAGAGAGTATACCCAGATAATGAAAGGCAAATGTAAGTTAGTAAGATACTATAAAAAAGAAGCCACAAAGTGCAGGAAACGATGAAAGAAGAAAACTTTGAATAGCAAAAAAAAATTAGCAGGAGAGTCTTAAGATCCTTTCTCACAGAGGGAAAAGAAAAAGAAAAACAGAAATGACACTTTTATGACATATACAGTCAACCAAAGACAAGAGATAATTAAAGAATTGTGAGGCCAAGAGGCAATAATCTCAGTTTCAAAAGTGCCTATGGGATATATGGCAATATCCTGTCTCAAGATTCTAAGGCGGGGAGCAGTGGCTCACGCCAGTAATCCCAGCACTTTGGGAGGCTGAGGTGGGCAGATCATGAGGTCAGGAGTTCAAGACCAACCTGGCCAACATGGCGAAACCCCATCTCTACTAAAAATACAAAAATTAGCCAGGTGTGGTGGTACACGCCTGTAATCCCAGCTACTCAGGAGGCTAAGGCAGGAGAATCACTTGAACCCTGGAGGCAGAGGTTGCAGTGAGTCAAGATCACGCCACTACACACCAGCCTGGGCTACAAAGCGAGACTCTGTCTCCAAAAAAAAAAAGATTCTAATTATACAATATTCCTCAGCTTTCTTTAAAAGATATAATGGCAAAACATACACATATAAAAAAGATATGACTTATCTATCTTTTCAGTTCATGATAAAAAGTATGTTTATATATATACTCCATTATATTACTGAGAACCATTGCAAAAAAGAATTCAAAGGAAATAACGGGTCCTATAAATAAATAATATCAGATAGACTTCTATACCAGTTTAAAAGACTCTCATAAGACAATAGGACAACTTTTAAAAATGCCAAAATGAAATGAACATCTGTCTCAAAGTAATAAAGGCATTGATTTGTTCCACATATTTTATAACAATGAGAACAAAAAGCTGTTTAAAAAAGAAGCTGCATTGTATTAGAAAATTTTGTTAAAGCACATTTTTATCCTTAAAACAGCAACTTTCTACTATAAAACACAGGAAATGACACAACTATCATTAATTTTTATTTCTTACATTAACCCAATAGGAAATCATATCAGATCAATTCAAAAGAATTGTTAAAACAGACCCTTACAATACATTATGATTTTGCATCATATCAGAGAAAACTAATACAACTTATCCTGAATTGTTCCTAAGTTTTCACAAATTAAAATATGTCCAATACTGTCCCAAGGGCTCACCTGGGAGCAAATCATGTTACTACTAGAATAAGAGAATCCTGAATGAAAAGCAACTGCTGAAGAAAAAAAAAATCTAATGGAGAAACAGAAGAGTCTTCTGTTGATAAAACTAAGATCTGTAAAAATGCAAAGAAGAGACTAGAATGAGAGAAGTACAAAGTAATGTCATAAAGCAAACTAGCAGTTAATACAGGGGTTTGAGATACGGTAGTTTCAGCTTATCCAAGAGCAGTCCAGAGTAACACCTAGAAATGGGATTAGTGAGATGTCACACCCATTCCCAATTCCCACCATGGTTGCATGGTACAATAAAAGAATCTCCTCTCTCTTTGAAAACAATATACTAAATAAATACCAAACAAAAATCCATCTTATGAAAATTTCATACTTTAATGAGAATATGTTCAACAATGAATAAACACAGCTCAATGGGGACAGTTATTGTTTAGAATTACATTAAGTCTAGCTCTTTCATCATGTCTACCACATGTAACAATGAAGAGAGAAAAAGACTCAAGGTGACAGGGGACAGTGATCCCTGCAGAATAAATCAAGGTTAAACTTTAAAATACTGTTCTTATATTACATAGAGTATAGATAGTAAGCTTAACCAATGAAAATTATAATGCACGGCCAACAAACATATGAAAAAAAAAAGCGCATCATCACCAGTATAGAGAAATGCAAATCAAAATCACAATGAGATACCACCTCACTCCAGTTAGAATGGCAATCATTAAAAAGTCAGGAAACAACAGATGCTGGAGAGGATGTGAAGAGATTGGAACGCTTTTACACTGCTGGTGGGAGTGCAAATTAGTTCACCCATTGTGGAAGACAGTGTGGCAATTCCTCAAGGATCTAGAACCAGAAATACCATTTGACCCAGTAATCCTATTACTGGGTATATACCCAAAGGATTATAAATCATTCTACTATAAAGTCACAAGCACATGTATGTTTATTGCAGCACTGTTCACAATAGCAAAGACTTGCAGCCAACCCAAATGCCCACCAATGATAGACTGGATAAAGAAAATGTGGCACCTATACACAATGGAATAGTATGCAGCCATAAAAAAGATGAGTTCACGTCCTTTCAGGGACATGGATGAAGCTGGAAACCATCATTCTCAGCAAACTAACACAAGAGCAGAAAACCAAACACCACATGTTCTCACTCATAAGTGGGAGCAGAACAATGAGAACACATGGACACAGGGAAGGAAACATCACACACTGGGGCCTGTCGGGGGTTGGGGAACTAGGGGAGGGACAGCATTAGGAGAAATACCTAATGTAGATGACAGGTTGATGGGTGCAGCAAACCACCATGGCACATGCATACTTATGTGACAAACCTGCATGTTCTGCACATGTATCTCAGAATTTAAAGTATAATAATAAAAAGAAAAAAGAAAGAAAAGAAAAATATAATGCACACATAATAACTTGTTTGGCTTGTTGTCTACAATATTCAAGAATAGGTATCATAATACTAACAGTTTTAAGAGATTAAATGCAAGATACATTGTTTCTCCAGACCAGTTTATAAAGAAAATTATATAACATATACTTTAGTATCATAGAAATATACACTTGTTTTGCTAATTAGAACTTGTTGATTCCTTAACAAATTCAATCCATCAGTCAACCCATTATTGAAGAAGGAAAAGAAGAAAAAAAAAGAATGGAGGTGAAGGAAAAGAAAAAGAGAAAGAAGGGAAGAGGAAATTCTTCTAAAGTATTATAATTTCAGCAATGTATCAGCAATTCCTGTAACAGTTTTTTGAAGGGAAGAACTTCTAAGAAAGTCAGTCTATGGGGTTTAGAAACCTTAAGTTCTAAGCTTCCTAATTAACCTGCTTAGAATATCAATTGAGCTTCCTCTTCCTCCTTCCCACATACCTTTTTATCTTTTATCCCTTTTTCTCTGCCTCCCCCTTCCCATTCTCTCTCCCTCTCACTCTTTTCCTCTCTCTCTCTTTCTCTCTTTCTGTCACACACACACACACAGACACACACGATGTGTTTAATTTCATTATTAGTTCAAATTAAGGTAATACAAAAGAAACTGTCTACAGCAATGATAGAAAGAATAAAAATGCACATAAAGTTAAATAAGTCAAAGAGCCATATCATTTATTGGGTACATTCCCAAAACTATTCTTGTTGTAAATAAACCAATTCTGTCTGGTCTGGACAGGTGTGGCTTCAAAATCTCAGAGACAGTTTACTTCTGTCACTGGTATTATTAGAAACAGCAGGGAGAGGAAACAATCCCAATCTTAAATCCCAGTGTGCAAAAATCACAATTCTAGGTGTTCCAAAATTTTATATAACATTGTCCATCTCTACAAACATCAGCTTGGATAAGGCATCTCAGTGATTATAATTTTTCTCAACATCCCTAACAAATCCACAGGTAGAAGAATTAAACACCATGCAGACATAAGTTTCACTTTACCCAACAATTCATTCAGAGCTTTAGTTTCAGATTGAACCAACTCATGTAGCTGGACATTTGGATCTATATTAACCCAGTGCAGCAGAGTTCAAAGATGTTCATATAAATGTTGATTCAAAACTCTTGAGAAACTCTTTACATTTGATCTCATCTTTCATATCGGATTAAAACAAAACAAAACAAAAATACCACCAAACTGCTAAATTGGTTTGGCAAACGAGTCCCAAACTAGAATCCTTTGGAACTAAGTTAACCTGGAGTACATCTAAGCTAAATTAAATTCCCAAGGTCGGATTATAATCAACTATGCTTCAGGAATTCACCAGATCTTGATCAAGTCCAATAATAAACGTTGTTGAGGAGGAAGGAAAAAAATAGGTGTTCGCCGCATTTGGGGAACTTGCCAGTCATGTTATTAGATAATGCATGTATCTGGAAAAGCACAATAGTCATGAAAGTTGTGCTTTATCAAAAAAATAAATCCAAATAAGAAATCTATTTTTTAACCAAAAGATACATGATAAAGCTATAATTTTGTTTAGTGCAAACTAAATTACTTTGCTATCTTTCACAACTCTGTAATTAGCTTGATAAACATTAAACCCATAAGGAAGAGTTCCAATGTACAAGTTTCTTTTTTAAAGATTGCTTAAAAGTAACCTTTAACTAGCTAAGAAAACAAGCCAAAGAAGATTCCAAATCTGCGATAAGAAATCTATTCTTATTACAAATGGTGATATAAACAACCTGATTTATGAAACTGTAAATGTCTATCAATAAATACTATGCTCCTACTTCCTTTTACTTTAGCAAAATAATATTACTGAATGATGTACCAATGAAACTGTATTACAATAAACATTCCCCCCAACTGAAGCAAAACTTTACTCTCAAATGGAATAATTTAAATTACAAGTACCAGAACCAAGAAAAGGGAGAAATATTATATAGGAACCTCATAGCCCACCTTTCTTCTTGACTGGCATTCTTGGGTCTTTTCGCTGCCACAGGATTCAAGATCTCTTTTCAAGTCTCAGTTTGATCCAACTGGATTGAGGCCAAGAGCCAGGTAACTGTTGCAAACCACTTCACTGTTCAGTTTTGAAATCCAGGCTGAGTCTTCTATGTCAGACAAAGAAAATAATGATGTATTTTTCCCACAACTAAACTTCATACACTGCCCAGAGTTTACAGAAAAGTAATTTTTGAGTTTTTCAAGTTTTTCAATTTTTAGACTGTTTTTAAAAACTGGGAAAATTACTGTAAACATAAAAAACGGTACTCAAATTCCGCCTCAGCAACATTTTTGGAAGTTCAATAACTAACTCAATTAAGGCACAAACCAAATTTAGACAGCTGTCTCATGACTTTATACATGGTCAAATTCAAAGATGATGATAAAGATCCTCAAATCTGTCGAGAAAAATTTAACCCCCACCTCCCAAAAAACTCTTTTAAAAACCTCTTTGACTCCAGTCTCTAAAAAGGTAGGTGAGTTTGAACAGTTTTCTGGGGCAGAACACACACTGAAAAGGCCCCCTTCTATTTACTGATCAGAAGTTCCAGATCTCACCCTCTCAGTAACTCAGGATCCAGCCTGCTGTCACTTTCATTTTTTTCTTCTGTGCTCTCCAAGCCCCCAGGCTTGATCCTTAATGCCCCTCTGATTCTGATCCTCCCATGTATTAACCGAGAGGATTGAAAAAAAGGAAAGCAATCCCTTGGCATGGAGACATTAAAGTGACAGTACTACTCAATGGGCACTTGATGCAGGATGAGTTGGCGAAGGAGATTTCTTCACATTGGAGTCATTCACATTATGCCATCTCTTCGCATGCAAGCAGCTCCCTATCCGGCAAGGAAAAACACTGAAACTTCAAGAGAAGCCAAACCTTCTCCCAGAGGTGTTTTCAGAGACGCCGTAGTAGTATTAGACATGTAAGCATAAGCTATGCAAACGGTCCGCGATTTCCTAAATGAGAAAGTGCAGCTGCTTGGCTTTCACATCCACCTTTTCTCTCAATCTCTCTTCAAACTACCCACCTTCCTTTTGCAGAAAAGACAGGACATTTCTCTGCCACCGCTGACCACCCCTGCCCAAGCCCCGTTCTTTTAGGGAAGAGCACTGAAATGTCCTGCACCCTTCACGCGATGAAGTGTTTCCTCAGGCAGGAGCAACAGCAGCACTAGAAATTATATAACTCTCGAATTTGGCTTTTCTAAGACATGGAGACTGGAGGGTCGGGGGTTGCCGGTCTGGGAGATACTGCTGGGCATTTAACGCTCACAAAATAGCGTCAGGCCTTGCAGTGCCCCCCACCCCGAGACACTGCTGACAAGCGGGTCTTCTCAGTGGGTAGTGGGCAAATTTCTCTCCGGTCTCTTTCCAAGCGGGGCTTAAGGATGGAAATGAGGGGACTACAGACTGGGGAGAGGAGTCAGACGGCTGGGAGGGGAGGAGGCTAGTCGGGGCTGCTCTGATGGCGCTTGGCGGCTGGTTGGGGGTTTTGAGGAGGAGGTGCCCGAGAAGCACAGCTTTAACACACAGGCCAGGTCAAAGGGGCGAGTTCCCTCAATGACTGAAAGGTACAGGCAGCTAGTTCCCAGCTAACAGAGCTGCCCTGAGGAGAGGCAGGAGCGCAGCAACATTCCAAAATTCGGACCGCCCCATCTTACCCGCAAGACGCGGGCAGAAGCGGTAGCTAGACTGACAAATAGCAAGAGGAGGAAATACTCGACTGGCGAGGGGGGCGGGCCCGCAAGCCTCTGGACCTCTTCTAAGCAAATGAGTGGCCGTAATTTCTAGATTCTGCGCCCAATCACAGTCAGGATGGAGGGCGCGGCTTTTGACTGAGTTGGGGCCGGCCCAGGCTGCAAGCGAGTGGCGTGAGCCGTAAATCAGCACCACTTCCCGCCCAGGGCGTTCTGGGTCCCCGCCCCCTGCAAGTCACGTGAGCCATCAAAATGGCGGCGCTCGGGCATGAGGTTGGGGCTAAGTTGGATTCAGGTGTGCAGCCGGTGGGAGCTGAGGAAGCGCCCAAGGTAGGCGGAAACCCGAAGTGGTATAGTGAGGGTGATTTCTGCAGCTTCAAAGTGTTGGCAGACTCTTCTAAGATGATACATGTAAAGGAGTTTTGAAAAGTTAAAGAACACAGCTCCCAAGTCCATGCAAGGAGCGGTCGATTAAGTCTCCAGTTGCTGTGGAAAGAGGCGGAGAGAACGTAGAACACCTAAAATCAAGTCCTCATTATCTGCAGTTTGTTTTCTCTTGTCTCCAGGTCTTTGCAAAGGCCTTTTCTTCAACTTGGAATATTTTCCGGCTTCTATCCATCCCAACTCCTGTGCCAAATTGTTCTCTTTCGGGCATTGATTTAAATGTCACTTCCTCCGGGAAGCCTTCCCATGCTTCCTCTGGCTAGATCGTTTGCCTTTTCTTGGTTTGCTGGGTTTTTTGTTTATGTCATTCTCTCATTCTGCATTTAAATTGTTCTAAACTCTCACTACGTTGTGGATTCCCAAGGACGGGATTACCGGGAGGCCTGGCATATACCAGGTATGCCCTAAATGATGAGCGAACATCGAATGAAATTCTAAAGGTTAGGTGAAATAATACACCTGAAAGCACTACAAAACCGTCAAATGCTTTGCAAACTATAAACCTACATATATGCAGTCTTAGTGGTATAAATGTGGTGATTAGTTGAGTGGCCTTAAAAGGGGAGGGGTGTAATGAAAGCAGTTGATTCTTCGACAGTGCCTTGGAAAGCTTAAGCACTCAATAAATATTTCCTGTTTTGTTTTCAGTATTCAGTATTTGCTGTCCTGTAATCATAATCCTGGGTGTCTGTTTTCCCTATAGAGAGTTTAGGGTGTAGACTAGGTAGGAGATTAGTAGAGGATGTTGCCTGGAAGTTTGTTTTGTTTTTCGTTTTTGGTGGGAGATTGGGGACTTCAATGAATTGGATGAGAGCAGAACAAAAATTTATCTAAGGTTTATGGTTACTCATGTTATTGGCATCTGCCCTTTTAGTACAATAGATGGGTTAGGTATAGAATCTCCCTTAGATGTTACTGTCTCTTATACTTTACATTTGGGTGTCAGGGAGAGGCAAAAGATTAAGTCTAGTCCCTGAAAATTTGTAATTTGTAAAATCTTTTACCTTTTTTCCACCTGCCCTCTCCAGAAATGTTACAGAAAAATATCGAGTACAGTTGTGCAATGATGCAGACAAAGAAACTGGTCCATTATTACTCACTGTGTAACACCATGAGAAGGTTAAAAGGAGCCCATACCTTCTGTATGTTGATGCCAGGAGCAGGAGCTGTGGATAATTAGTTGGCCCTTCTGTAGTTAGGATTGGTACATACTGCTCATTGAGCAAATGAGTATTACAGTGATATTCAATGTATGTCCGTTGACTACAGCATCGGAAACCCTTGGTGGTATTAAAATGGAGAGTCTACGCCTCATCCTACGCTAATTGAATCCAGTTATCTCAGGAGGGAGTTCATGAGACTGCATTTCAAATAAATACCCCACGTGATTCTTGTGCGTGCTGAAGGTTGAGAACCACTGGTTTATTAAGTATCTTCTGTGTTCATTATGCTTCATCCACTCTAATTCTCTTGCCTTAATTTGAGATTTAGTATTTGCCTTTAATATAAACATTAAAATTGGGATTAGTGTAAATTTGTGAAGAGGCCGTTTGGCTAATTTAGAGGAAAAAGAGTAAGAAGCACTGAACTTAGCATCAATAGACCTTCCACTTGCTGCTGTAGTAGGTAAACATTTGCAACCACATGTTTGGATTTAACAAATGTTATTAAGACTTTTCACAGAGACCCTATAGTCTTGCCCAGAGCAAAACTTCAGAAAGGATCCTGTCTGAGAGTGCAGGGTTTGCTTTTTTTTTTTTTTTTTCTGAGACGGAGTTTCGCTCTTGTTACCCAGGCTGGAGTGCAATGGCGCGATCTCGGCTCACCTCAACCTCCGCCTCCTGGATTCAGGCAATTCTCCTGCCTCGGCCTCCTGAGTAGCTGGGATTACAGGCACGCGCCACCATGCCCAGCTAACTTTTTGTATTTTTAGTAGAGACGGGGTTTCACCATGTTGAACAGGATGGTCTCCATCTCTTCTCCTCGTGATCCACCCGCCTCGGCCTCCCAAAGTGCTGGGATTACAGGCTTGAGCCACCGCGCCCGGCCGTTTTGTTTTTTAACCTCTCTAGTTTCTGTTAAGATGCTACTGGCCAAATCTTCCTGGTCCTTTGACATTGGCAGCTGTCTATTTATCACACTTAGGACACAAGAACCTTACAACCGAGGAGTCCAGTGCCATGGGCCTCTGCTCTGCCACATGCCCATTTCTCACAAAGGCTCTGCTTCCACCACAGGTGCTAATAGGGAACGGGATATATAATTTATGTACTCCAAAGTAGTAGCCACCATCCACTGCCTGTTCCCTTTCTGGAGCAGTGTCCCTCTTTCTGATTTTCTCTCTAGCTGTTCTCCAAGGCAATCCCTGCTCTCTCCTACCTCTCCAGGAAATACAACACTATTTCCAAAATAAGCTCAGTCTTTCAAGAGAAACTGAGGATAGAGATGTCAATAAGTAGCCACTGTTTCCACTTCCCCATCTGAAGAACTAGTAGGACAACTACAAAGGGCCTGACTACCTTCATGGAATCAGGAGAGGGGAAAACCGTAAGGAAAACAGAAACAGTATCAGGATGTCATCCTTCTACACTAAATCTTAAGGCAAGCGAACCTTTCAGAAACTCACTTTTCTCATCTGTATAGAGATAATCATCATACTACCAATTTCTTAGGTTCATGTGTGAATGAGAAAGCCAGTATCTGTGCATTGTAGGATGTTTAGCAAGAAAAAAATATATAACAAAAAGCCAGTGTCTAACAGATAATAAGAGCTCAGTGAATATTATTGAATTATTAACATAAAGTATGTGAAAGCAGATGACATAGTACCTGACACACTACTAAACTGTAAATGTTTTTAAATCTGAATCTGTAGAATTCTGTAAGGTATTATGTAATATTAATATCATTAGCTGTTATGGCTCTGGAATTTTCTTTTCCAGGATGTCAAGATGACAGCATATACGCATGGTCAGCCCAGTGCTTTTCTAGAAGACGTAAAACTCAGAAGATCAATGATCATAGAAATCATAGAAAAAAAATTTGAATGTCTTAAAAAAGAAATGTAAGAGAAATACCCAGGCTGAAAGTCAGTCATTTTATTTGCAAGTTTTTTGTATTGCCGTTGTTTCTGAGATGCAATTCTTTGTTATTTGTTCTGTTATCTAAGATCCTATTCTTTGTGTTGGTTATGAAGAACACATCTTTTAAAAAAAGAATGGGGAAAACAAGAAGAGATGAAAATAGTGGTTTGTTGGAATACTTGGGATTGTGGATAATTTCTTATGTTTCTTAAAAGTATCCAAAAGTATTGCTAAAACATTTGTGCACTAAATATATTTTAATTAAAAGTAATTAGGAGAAAACCCTTTGGGGGGGTACTTATATTTAATTGGTGAATAATTATAATCAGTTTAGGATTGATTATTTCAGTCACAGTACTTAGTACAGCAAAAGGGAATACAGATTCCATGGTATAAATTCAGTCTCACATTACCATTTTGACTTTTTTTTTTTTTTTTTTTTTGAAATGGAGTCTCATTCTGTCACCCAGGCTGGAGTGCAGTGGTGCAATCTGGGCTCACGACAATCTCCATCTCCTGGGTTCAGGTGATTTTCTTGCCTCAGCCTCCCAAGTAGCTGGGATTACAGGCATGTACTACTACTACCACACAGCTAACTTTTGTATTTTTAGTAGAGATGGTTTCACCATGTTGGCCAGACTGGCCATTTTGACTTTTAAATGAACAGAGTTCAATAATAAAATCAAAGGACAATTGATCTTCGTTTCTGGATTTAGGTGTGCGTTTTGTTTTTTTTTCTTTTTGAGATGGAGTCTTGCTCTGTCACCCAGGCTGGAGTGCACCGCAATCTCGGCTCACTGCAGCCTCCGCCTCCTGGGTTCAAGCGATTCTCCTGCCTCAGCCTTCTGAGTAGCTGGGACTACAGGTGCGCGCTACCACGCCCGGCTAATTTTTTGTGTTTTTAGTAGAGATGGGGTTTCATGGCAGTAGCCAGGTTGGTCTCGATCTCCTGACCTCATGATCCACCCTCCTCTGCCACCCAAAGTGCTAGGATTACAGGCGTGAACCACCGCGCTCGGCCCTAGCTATGGGTCTTAATAAGAAAACTAGATCAGATTTTTTTAGATAAAGTTTTGTAAATCTTGGACAAATTATTTTAAATGTATCTGGACTAATGAAGAAATGGAAGGCCTAACCAAATGTAAACAGCTTTTTTTTTTAGATGAACTTAAGCAAAGTAACTCTTTTTAGTCACAGAAAAGGTATTCTTGGATTTGGGTAGCTCATCAAATTTGGCTACATTGGAACATATTTATATTTATTTGTGGCCAAAATTATTTAAAAGAGCTCTATTTTAGAACTACTCTAAATATTCTCAGAAAGAGAATCATGTCCTCTTATTAGAATACAAGTTCTCCGAGGGGTGGGGATTTTCTTTCATTTTCTTTTTTTCTTTTGCTTTGTTTACTCTCCTATCTTAAGCACTTAGAAATACTTTTCACATAGTGAGTGCTCAAGATATATTTGATACTGAGTAAATATACAATAACAACTTTTCAGGAAAGGCTATATCCATTAAGTTCAATGTTATAGTGAACTGAATTTTTCTTTTGTTCCATTAGAATACCAAATATATATCCTATGACATTGACTGGAACAGCAGCTGGTTGCACTGGAATATTCGCAAACTTCACGTTCAGACACACCTTCAAGGTCAAACATGATGCTTTGAAGACATATGCATCATTGGCTACAGTTCCGTTTTTGTCTGCTGTGGTTGCTCACAAGCTTCTTGTAATTGATGCTTTGTATTCAGGTGAATTTAAATTCACTATTGTATAATGTAGTTATATCTAAGTAAAGTTACTGATTAACATTATACTGTTGCTACTTCTAATAATAATTCTTTACATTTGTATATTGCTAACAGTTTACAAAGTACTTAATCGTATTTAATCCTTGCAACAATCCTCCTAATCAGGTAAATAGTATTTCCTTTTTATAGACAAGCAAGAAACCCAAACTGAGGCATGTTCAAGTAGACTAATAAGCAACATCCTGGGAAAAGAATTGGCTGTGGCTTACAACACATCATTTCAGTATCCTACCTCCTGCCACTTAGGTTTTGTGACATTCAGCAAGTCATTTCATCTCTGAGCCTCAGTTGTCTTATCTGTGAATTCAGACTAATAGTACTCACCTCACAGAATTGTTGTGAGAATTAAAAGATACTGTATGTTAAATGCCTACCACAATATCTGTCATGTTACCGGCTTTCCTGCTCGTAATAGTCATTTCCTGCCCCTCACCTGACCTTGAGTTACACAACTAGTAAGTAATAGAGCCTTTATCCCTCATTCATTCTTCAGGTCCCTGCTTAAATATCTTTTCCCTAGGGAGACCTCTGATTCACTCATTGCACATTAGATGTCTGGATATAGTCTCTATACAGTTTATCTTCAAAGAATTGTGTACACTTACAATTATTTAAATATTTGTCTAATGTATTTCTTCCCTATAAACTGGCCAGAAGGTGAGAGATCAGGTCTCTTTTATGTACCTAGCACATTCCTGATACATAGTAAATAATAAAAATGTTATCCTAGAATCCAGGTCTAGTCTGTTAGTTTAGTATTCTGTCATTATAAAATTGCGTGTGGCCAGGCGCGGTGGCTCATGTAATCCCAACACTTTGGGAGGCCAAGGTGGGCAGGTCAGTTTAGGCCAGGAGTTCGAGACCAGCCTGGCCAACACAGTCTCTACTAAAAATAGAAAAACAGCTGAGCCTGGTGGCGGCTTGCCTATAATCCCACCTACTTGGGAGGCTGAGGCAGGAGAATCGCTTGAACCGGGACCCGGGAGGCAGAGGTTGCAATGAGCCGAGATTACACCACTGCACTCTAGCCTGGGCAACAGAGTGAGACTCTTGTCTCCAAAAAATAAAATAAAACCGCTTCTACAACAATCACATGTATAAGAGGTAATTCTCTATATGATAAAGTATATAATAAAAAGTGTTTTTAAAATGTGCTGCATTTAGTCTTTTATATGCCATAGAGTTTGAATTTCTGATATTCTTTCTGTGGTTTACTTGTGGTTGAGGACAGTGCAGATAACTAGTCTGTGAGGTACAACACTATCTTAACAGCTCTTGAGTTTTAAAGGGAAACCAAATTTACTTTTGTTTTCCAGATAATATAAGCAAGGAAAGCTGTGTTTTAAGAAGTTTACTGATTGGCATAGTATGTGGTGTTTTACAACCCAATTCTTTGGCTTTTGTTAAAAATGGACGTCTGGCAACCAAGTAAGTTGCTCCTTTTCCTTCTTTTTTTTTTTTTTTTTTTTTTTTTTTTTTTTTATTTTTTTTTTTTTTTTTTTTTTTTTTTTTTTTTTTTTTTTTAAGGTTAATAAACTCTGTTTATTCTTTAGCTGTCTATGATATATTTGAATCAAAATATAGTAGTTTGGTATTTCAAATAGCTAACTTTTAACTTTTTGCTCTCTACATTACAGACTTAGAAAAGCAATGATCAGTTTTGGAGAAGTCAACAAACTATTAATAGCATTCATATCCAGGAGAAATGATTAACTCTTTTTTTTCTTTTTAGGTATCATACCATTCCACTGCCACCAAAAGGAAGGGTTTTACTCCACTGGATGCTGCTTTGTCAGACACCAGTTAAATTAATGCCAATTCCTATAGTCTTTCATATTGCGATTGGAGTAATTAGTAGTCTACGCTACTGCACAGTATTTGAAAACACACTTGAGAAAACTGTACCTGAAGAGTAACCAAAAAAATGAATGGTTGCTAAATTAGCAGAATGAAGTTTTTGTCAAGTGGACTCGGGCATTGCTGAAATTGTTAAAAGTAACTCTGAACAATTTGTTTCTGTGACTTTTACCTGGCATATAGCAAATACTCGATACATATTCAATATGCAATCAATAAATAAAAGTTTCAACTTACATGTAAGATTAAGTTTTATCTCCTCATGGTATGTCCATTTTGCCTAGTATATAACAGATAATAAATATTAAGTCTTTCAGTAAATGTAAACAATAAAAGTTTCATCTTTCCTCTGTGGAAATAGGTTTGGGCTTCAAGGTTTAATCTATGCAGTTATATATTTATTCATTCATCAAACATTTATTGAGCTATTTCTCAGGCACTATGTTAAGTATAATAAACATTCCAGCCGGGCACGGTGGCTCACATCTGTAATTTGTGAGGCCATGGCGGGCAGATCACCTGAGGTCAGGAGTTTGAGACCAGCCTGGCCAATATGGTGAAACCTCATCTCTACTAAAAAAAAAAAAAAAAGCTAGACATGGTGGTGTGTGCCTATAATCCCATCTACTTGGGAGGCTGAGGCAAGAGAATTGCTTGAACACAGGAGACAGAAGTTGCAGTGATCCAAGATCACACCATTACACTCCAGCCTGGGTGACAGAGCAGAAACTCAATCTCAACAGAAATAACTTTTTTCCCTAGAAAGAACTCAATTGACGAGGAATAAGAAGTGTGAGCACATACTATGATAGGATTTGAGAGATATACACATAATTCTGTAAGGGCACTGAGGGTATGCATGTTAACTAGGCAGAAGGGGAAGCTGTGGTGGGAAAAAGTAATATTTGAGCTAAATTTTGAAGGAGAAATTGGAAGTTCTTAAGAAAGGAAGGTATGGGAATAACAGCCCATTTCTCTACACTGACACTACCTTCTCATTTGCAAATTGTCTTCAGTATGTAGTTTAAAAAACTTGTTTTTAACCTTCAAATCTAGTTTTCGCGAAAGAATATTTATTGAGTTCCTGTATGCCATGCATTGAGATAGGAACCAAGGGTACAAAGATTCAGTGCTTGCCGCTAAAGAAGCTTAAAGTTTACAGTATTTTGTTTGTTTGTTTTTTGTTGTTTGTTTTAGATGGAGTCTCACTCTGTAGCCCAGGCTGGAGTGCAGTGGCACCGTCTTGGTTCACTGCAACCTCTGCCTCCCGGGTCCTGGTTCAAGCGATTCTCCTGCCTCAGCCTCCCAAGTAGGTGGGATTACAGGCACATGCCACCATGCCCAGCTAATTTTTGAAGTTTTAGTAGAGATGGGGTTTTGCCATTTTGGCCAGGCTGGTCTTGACCTCCTGACCTTGTTATCCATTCACCACGGCCTCCAAAAGTGCTGGATTACAGGCGTGAGCCACCATGCCAGGCAACATGTTTGTTGAGAGTCTCCTGAGGCATCCCTGAGCTACACATGTATCTTAGTTCAGAAAACGAACACAGACAAGAAGAATTACAGAATGGAACTGTACATTTCATTCTCCATATCCTAACCATATTCATTTTGAGATTAAAAACATGGTAATATTGGAAATACAGCAAGGTTGACTTAAATTCACCTCTCATACCACCAGAAAGCAGAATAAATTTGTACCTTAGATGACTTCAGATTGTTCTGTAACAAAAAAAACGCTGGCAAATTCCTTTAGCTTTGAAATGCATTAATTGCCACAGTGACTATAAGAGGCATGAAAGGAGAAATTAGGGAAACCTTGGCCTTCTGGACCTGAGCCCAAAGGTGAAGCCAGGCGAAACAGTGAAAAAAAGCAACAAGTGCAGAGGTGTGAAGGTCAGCTTGCAGCTGCATTCAAGATTCAAATCTTGGCCTCATTACTTACTAACAGGATGATCTTGAATAAGCTATTTCACTTCTCTGCATTTAAGTCTCTGTATCTATCAAATGAGGAATAAAAACTGTACTCAATCTCAAAGTGTTATATTAAATGAGTTAATATAAGTAAATCAAAACAGGACCCAACTCATACAAAGTCTAAATGTATTAGCTGCTATCTTAGTCCACTTGGGCTACTGTAACAAAATAGCATGCACTGGTGACTTATAAACAACAGAAATTTATTTCTCATAGTTATGGAAGCTAGGATTTGGTGTCTGAGAGCATGCTTTCTGGTTCATAGATAATGCCTTGTGTCCTCACATGATGGAAGGGGCGAAAGAGCTCTCCGGAGCCTCTTTAATAAGCATAAAAACCTCTTTCATGGGGGCTCTGCCCTCATGACCTAATCACTTCCCAAAGGCCTCACCACATAATACCATCACCTTGGGGTTAGTATTTCAAAATATAAATTCAGGAGGCACAAACATTTAGACCATAGCAGCTGTCATTATTGTTACTATTGCTGCATATCAAGTATCACGGTCCTTTTCCTAGTCTGTAGTTATCAGTCTAGTCTGGCACTTTGGCAGAAAAATTAGAAATGTCCACCAAAGAGAAGCCACAAGATATCTTTCATTTGAATAAATATATATTCACTTATTCAGCTAATGTTGATTAATCACTTATTGTATGAAAGATAATACTACATGTTGAGCAAGTTATGTAAACTTTGTTTTCTCTTAAAACATATTAGTAACTGCTTTATAGTATGGTTATAAAGAGTAAAGTACATAGAACCATACCATACCACACCTGGCATGTAGAAGTTGCTCAGTAAATGTGTTTACATCATCTGTTTTCCCTGATAGGTGTATAATAATAACTAAGATATGGTCCCTCTTATAAGAACTTACCTTCACTCTGACCTCTTCATTTCCCCTGACTCCCTTCACCATGTGATTTCCCCGTGCTTTTGTGTTGTTATTACATTGCACTGCATTGCTTGGGTTGTATTGTGTACTGATTTTCTCTCTGCTTTTGTACAACTGTCTTATCTTGCATTAACTACTTAGTTTTTGAATTTTCAAGTTTAAGCAGTAATCTAATAATGAAAATATAGTATTTTACACATGTGGTTGAATTTCATAGAATTTGTTCACCCACCTTCCTCAGCTTCATTAAAAAAAAAAAGATTCTTCCAAAGATGTATAACTCATACTCCCCTAGCTTCATCATTCTAAAAGACAGGCAAACTAACATTAATAAACATGAATAATTGATTCTTGGTAGCCCTTAACCCCACCAGCTCCACTATAGGAACAAAGAAATCCACCCCAAAGTCTCCCCAAGATTACACATTGCAGAAGAAAAGATTAGTGAACCTAAAGACAAAGCAAACTACAAAACTACTACAAGAAAGCTTGGGGGAAATTCTTCAGGGCATTGGATTTGGCAACGATTTCTTGGATATGACATCAAAAGTACATGTAGCAAAATCAAAAACAAGCAAATTGGGACTACATCACACTGAAAAACTTCTGGGTATCAACAGCATGAAAAGGCAACCTAAAGAATAGAAGAAAATAATTGCAAATCATACATCTGAAAAGTGGTTACTATTCAGAATATATAAGGAACTTCTACAACTCAACAGCAACAAAAACCAAACAACTCTAAAAATGAGCAAAAGACTTCAATAAACATTTATCAATGAAAAGGTATATAAATGGCCACTAAGCATATAAAAAGACACCAACATCACTAACCATTAGGGAAATGCAAATCAAAACCACAATGAGATATCACCTCACACTCATCAGGATGGCCACTATCCAAAATTTTTATGCACTGTGTTGTGAATGTTGCCATTATGGAAAAAGTATGATGGTTCCTCAAAAAAAATTTTTTTTAAATACCATGTGGTACAGCATTCTCACTTTTGGGTATATATCCAGAAGAATTCCGAGCAAGATCTTAAAGAGATCTTTGCACATTATTCACAATAGCCAACAGGTGGAAGCAACTCAAATGTCTGTCAATAGATTAATAGATAAAGAAAATGTGGTATAATACACACAATGAAATATACAGCATTAGGAAGGAAATCTTTCCACATGCTACAACATAGATGAAGCTTGAGGACATTACACAAAGTGAAATAAGCAAAATAAGCAGTCACAGAAGGACAAATACTGTGTCATGCCACTCATATGAGGTATCTAAAGTAGTCAAAGTTATAGAAACAAAGTAGAAAGAAGGTTACCAAGGGCTGGGGGATATGGGGAGGAGGAATTAGTATTTAGTGGGTATAGAGTTTCAGTCTTGTAAGATGAAAAAGTTCTAGAGATCTGTTGCATAACAATGTAAATTAACATTACTGAACTACATACTTAAAATGTTTAAAATGGTAAATACAATGTTATATGCTGTTACAACAACAACAACAAAATCCTACAACCAAATACTGTTTTAGACTTACACAATGTGAAATAATTAATCACCAGAAGGCCTGCATTCTAAAAAATCTTAAAGGAAGAAGTACTTCAAATAGAATGAAAATGATATCAGATGGAAATCTAGAAAAATGAAGAACACTAGAAATGGCAAATATGTAGGTAAATATAAATTTCCTTATTTTAAAAAATCCTTTCAAAGACAAATGACTATATATTATGTGCTTTATAACATGTAGAAGTAAATGTATGACAACAATAACTCCAAGACTAGGAGGGAAGACACGAAGATATAAAATTCTAATACTATACACAAAGTGACATATTACTTGAAAGTAGATCATGATAAAGATATTGTTGTGGGTTGAATTGTGCCCTCAAAACATATGTGTAAGTCCTAAGCTTGGTACCTGTGAATATGTCCTTATTTGGAAATAGGGGGTTTGCAAATGTAATCAAGTTAAGATGTAGTATATTGGATTAGGATGAACTTTATCCAGTGACTGATGTCTTTATAATACCAGGTAAATTTGAGCACACAAACACAACACAGAGGGAAAATGGCCACATAAAGCCACAAAGACATAAGGGGAAACACCATGTGAATACAGAAGCAAAGACTGGAATGACACATCTATAAGCCAAGAGACACCAGGGATTGCAGGCAACCACTAGATGCTAGCAGAGAAGGCTCAAACAGATTCTCCTTCGGGGCCTCCAATAGAAACCAACCTTGCCAATACATTAATTACAGATCTATAGCCTCCGGAACAGTGAGAGAATAAATTTGTTGTTTGAAGCCACCCAGTTTGTGGTACTTTCTAAAGACAGCCTTAGGAAACTACATGTGTGCTATATGTGCTAAAGCAATCATTACAGTTTTTTAAAAGAATTACAACTAGTAGAAAGCCAAAGGAGATGAAATAGAAAAAAATTCAACTAGTCCAAAAAAAGGCAGAAGGAAATGTAGAACAGATAGGACAAACAGAAAGCTGATAGATTTAAACTCTAGAATATAAAAATCATATTAAACATAAATGGTCTAAACGCCCCCCCCATGAAAAGCCAGAAATTGCCTATTTAGACAAAAAACAAAATCCAGCTATATACTGCCTAAAAAAAACCTGCATTAAATCTAAAGACTCAAATAGGTTAAAAGGATAGAGAAAGCTGTGTTGTGTTAACACTAATGAAAAGAAAGTTATCGGAGTGGCTACAGTGATATCAAACAGGCCAGGCACAGTGGCTCATGACTGTAATCCCAGAACTTTAGGAGGCCAAGGCAGGAGGATTACTTGATCCCAGGAGTTCAAGACTAACCTAGGCAACATAGTGATATCCCGTTTCTACCAAAAAAAAAAAAGTTACCTGGGCATAGCGGCCTGTAGTCCCAGCTACTCAGGAGGCTAAGGCAGGAGGATCACTTGCCAGAAGGTCAAGGCTACAGTGAGCCATGACAGTGCCATTGCATACCAGCCTTGGTGACAGAGTGAGACTCTGATTCAAAGGAAGGAAGGACGGAAGGGAGGGAGGGGGAGGATTTCAAAACAAAGAATATTACCAAAGAATAAGGAGGGTATTTCACAATGATACTGGGATCAATTCATCCTAAGTGTTTATTCATATAATAATGGAGCTTGAAAATAACGTGAAGCAAGAGCTCACAGAACTGAAAAGAGAAACAGAAAATCCCCATAATGGTTGGAGATTTCAATACCCTTCTCTCAATATCAATAAAACAAGTTGGTGGAAATTAAGAAAGGATAAAGGGCATGAGACAATTTGTGTTAATTGATGTTTTTAGAATTCTTGGCACAACAGCAGAGTATACATTCTTTGCAGGTACACGTGGACCACTTACCAAGATGGACCAGAATCTACTTTATAAACCGCAATAAGCTTAAAAGGATTCAAATCATACAAAGTATATTTTCTGACCAGAATGGAACTGAATTGGAAACCAATAGCAAAATGGTACCTGGAAAATTGGAACTATTTGAAACTAACACACTTCTAAATCATCCACAGGCTAAAGAGCAAAGCAAAGTGAAAATAGGGAGTCTTTTGAACTGAATTAACGCACAATATTTAAAAATCTATAGGATACAGTTACAGCATTCCTTGGAAATTTGTAGTACTAAGCACATATGTTAGAGAGAAAAAAGATCTCAAATCAATTACCTCAGCTGTGTTCTTAAGAAATGAGAAAAAGAGGAGCAACTCAAATCCTAGATTAGAATAAGAAAAGAAATAATATAGAACAGAGGGGGAAAAAACAAACAGAAAACAGAAACCAAAATGTGGTTATTTGAGTTTTTCAAAAACGCTTGGCGCATTGGCTTACGCCTGTAATTCCAGCACTTTGGGAGGCCGAGGCAGGTGGATCATGAGGTCAGGAGTGCGAAACCAGCCTGGCCAACATGGTGAAACCCCGTCTCTACTAAAACTACAAAAATTAGCCATGCATGGTGGTGGGCGCCTGTAATCCTAGCTACTCCAGAGGCTAAGGCAGGAGACTTGCTTGACCCCGGGAGGTGGAGGTTGCAGTGAGCCGAGATCGTGCCACTGTACTCCCATCTGGGCAACAGAGCAAGATAGTCTTGGAAAAAAAATAATAATAATAAACAATTATCAGATCAGCCATAAAAAAGGGAAGATATAAATGACCAATATCAAGAGAGAGGTGTTTCACCAGATTCTACAGATGTTAAAGTAATAATAAGAGAATATTTTTGAAAAATTAAAGCCAATAAACTTGAGAACTTAGGTGAAATAAATAAATGAATATTTGATTTTGTTTTGTGAAGATTTGTGAAGTTCACTCAAAAAGAAATAGATAATTAGGGTAGCCATATATCTACCATGAGTACTGAATTTGTAGTTAAATCCTCCCTACAAGGAAAACTCAGATCCGGAAGTTTTCACTGGTAAATTCTACCAAATATGTAAGGAAGAAATAACACCAATATGAGTAAAACTCTCCAAAAAAATTGAATAGGAGGGAACATTTGCCAAGTCATTCAATAAATCCAGCAATATCCTGATCTCAAAGCCAGATAAAAACATTTTCAGGCAAAAAACTACAGCCTAATACTCCTCATGAACATCCATACAAAAACTTTTGACAAACTTTCAGCAAACCAAGTACAAAAATATATATAAAGAATAGTACCTCATGGCCAAGCGGGGCTTATTCCAGGATTGCAAAATTGATTTAACATTTAAAACATCACTCAATATTTTTTGTTCTGCGAAACCCACAGCAGGAGTAACCCCACAAGTGACAGCAGGGTAATTTCCACAAGGGAGTGTTCCGAGTCATCCTGAGACTGGGCTGGTTGGGATTCAAAGAAAGAAGCACTAAACACCAGGGTAATCAGTCCAAAACATTTATTAGGGGAACTTTTATATGCATGAACTGCAGCGATCCTCACCACAAACAGCAAGAAAAAAGGATAGAAGTTACAAGAGGATTAGGATATGGAGTTTATATAAGGGCTTAAGGAATTTGGCTCAGGGCCACGGCCAGTTCATTTTAGTGTTTTGGGCAACAAACTAGATAACTTTATCAGTGCCTGGAAATTAAGGTCTTGGTTTGGATTCAAGCCTGCTGGGAAAAATCCACAGCTGGCCAGGTCACACAGCAGTCAAGGTGCTCTGTGATTTTCGGTCAGGACACGGAAAGACGGCTGGGGAACCTGGAGGCCCTACACAATATATTTCACTATATTAACAGACTAAACAAGGAAAAAAACATGATCATCTGAATAGATACGGAAAAAAGCATTTGACAAAATCCAACATCTGTTCCTGATAAAAACTCCCAGCATAAGAAGGAAAAGAAGGGAACATCCTTATAATTTTGAAGAGCATTTACAAAAAAACCTGTAACTAACATGACAATGGTGGGAAACTGAATGACTCCCCGCTAAGATCAGGAAAAGTGCAAGAATGTGTTTTACTGCTTCTAGTCAACACTGTATGGGAGAGTCTAGCCAGACTGGAAAAGAAGAAATAAAATTATCTATGTAATTTTTAAAATCCTATTTAATTTAGCAAGGTTGTAGGTTATAAGATAAATTGTAACAGATAAGCAATTAACAATAAGACCAGGCAATTTGTCCATTTTGACTAAATTGTTCAACACATTGGGTTAAAGTTGTTTATAATATCCCCTTCTTATCCTGTTAATGTGTGTCGAATTCGTATTAATGTCCCTTCTTTCAGTCCGAAAAGATTTAGTTGGTTGGTCTCTTTTTCTTTTGATTAGTCTTATTAGGACTTACAAATTTTAATATTTTCAAAGAATCACAGTTTGTTTTTTCTCTGCTGTTTTTGTCTTTTCTCTTTATTTCCACTCTTACGTTTATTCCTTCCTCTTTGACTTCCTTTTTGCTTAGTTTTTTTTTTTTTTTTTTTTTTTTTTTGGTTGATTTTGCCCTTGATTCTAGGGCATAGGTCTTAGTCATTGGATGTAGTCATTACTTCTAAGATGTTGCTCAGTGGAATGTCCAAAGTCTTCACCCAATCTCTGTAACTTGGAAATATTTACATTTCAAATATTTGAATTTAAATATTTAAATATTCAAAAATACACTATCTTCTCAGCATCAGACAGCTTCTGAAATTTCACTTCAGCTCTTCCAGTCTTTCAGCTGTTGCTGTCCATTGGGTTCTTCAGGTCTTATCACATGCATGTGCTGTTATAATTAATGTCAGCCAAAGATTTGAGGGGATTTTGTTAGACAGATTTTGTAGCTCCCTCCCCTCTCCCTGTGGCTCCCTTTTCAAGGTTCCTGCCCCAATTTCCAGTGGATCTGGCATTTTCAAACTTCAACTTCTGAGATTTCTAGAATGGGAAGAATGCTGCTTTATACTGGTACTCTATTCCCCATGTACTGCCCAGACCAATGCCCTCATGAATAAAGGCTGGACAAATGTGGATCTTACCCAGTATTTTTCCCTTCTTTCAAGAATTGTATACCCTCCTGTGTTTTCAAGCTATTTTGGTTGCTGTCCAGGGTCTTCTAAAAGAATCTCTTTTTTGTCCAACGTTTATAATTGTTATTTGCAATAGGGTCTGTCCAACATAAGCTACTGTGCCATTTCCAGAAGCCAGAAGTCCCTCTTTTATTTATTATCTTTGAGAAATATGGAATCTTCCTGGATCAACTATTTTCAGCAGATTCATGCATCATTTAAGTCAGAGCCATATCCCAAGAATTTTTTTGGGGGGACAGAGGATTTTATAGACAGTCCAGGTAAGAGATAATAGGTAGCAGCAATAAAGGTAGTAACAAGCGGTCAGGTTCCATTTTCTTTTATTTGGATTAACTACTTTATGTGCCAATATTCTGTTACAGAGTTCAGACAAGCTGTACGAAGCTAAATCATCGCTTCTCTTTTGGCATTTCTCAAAATTTTTAAAATCAAAAGAATTGCACATTTTTAGAAATAGAGAGAAAAATATGCTTTGACAAATTGTTATTTCCTATTTCCAAAAGGAGCTTATGGTTTTCTGGTGCAAGCATCATAGACATTGAAGATTTCTGGCTACATTTCTGTCCCTTCTCTTCCATGCATAGCCCAAGTTTGGCTAAATTGTTTGACATAAATTTTCATAGGTGCTGTGTAAAGAATTGCTGAAAGAAAGATGAGTGGAATCTGTGAGAATAAAGAGTCATCTCCAGTGCACATTTGACAGATGATTCATGTAAAGAATATCTAGGAAGAAAATAAATAGATGTTCATAATTGATTAGCCCGCAGGGAGTAATGTATATGAACTTAAGTTTCTGGCTTGTGCAACAAGATGAATGGTGCTGCCAAGCCCTGAGACAGGAAACAGTAGATGCCTAGATAGGAGAAGGGAAAACATGTGATTTTTAGCTTTGGATTATGAGATGTCCTTGAGTTTTTGATTAGGAGTCACCTAACTAATTTCCATCTGCAGTATTGCCTCCATTTTTTTGCTGCACCATATGAATTTTATCAAAGTGTAATTATGAATTATTTAACTCCCATTTTTAATAACCAACATTTCCCAGAAAATAAAGCAAACAAAAGGGAGCAAATTCTTAGTCTGGCTTTTTTTTTTTTTTTTAACCTTTTCAACCTTATTGCCTATTATTCTCTACAAGACCGTGGTTTTATAGTTTCTACATAATTAGGAAACACAGTTATAGAGAAGCCCTAGTGAAATTCCACTCAGGCAAAGGTAGTGAACAGAATATTGTGATTTGTTTGCTCAAAACCTTGAGATGAAAAGTAAAGTGAGTAAAGAAATAGTAGATGGCTCGGTGCAGTGGCCAAACCTGTAATCTCTGTACTGTGGGAGCCAGAGGCGGGTGGATCACCTGAGGTCAGGAGTTCAAGACCAGCCTGGCCAACATGGTGAAACCCTGTGCCTACTAAAAAATTAGCCAGGCGTGGTGGCACACCCCTGTAATCCCAGCTACTCCAGAAGCTGAGGCAGGAGAATTGCTTGAACCAGGGAGGCAGAAGTTGCAATGAACTGAGATGAGGCCATTGTATTCCAGCCTGGGTGACAAGAGTGAAACTCTGTCAAAAAAAAAAAAAAAAAGACTAGGAATTTTCCTTCTTGTACATTTTTATGAAAATAAGTCTTTCTATTTGTGCAAGTTTAGAAACTGCAATTACAGACTTCTTGGCCCTATGGAGCCTAATGGTCAAGCAACCGTGCAATGGATACAGTGTAAAAAGTATCTGTACAATGCAACACTTTATCACGTGCTCAGAAATTTGAGAGGATGAGAATAATTAAGATTTCTGATATGTGTTATGATCATGTATTTTTTTATTACAGTGAGCTGTGCGTTTTTTGGCACAATGTTTACCTGCTAATTTTAATAGACTTAAGATAAAATTCAATCACAGGCATTTTTCCCTTTTATTAGGTTAACTAGTCCAAGCGAGCTGAGCAAAGGTTGCAGGGAGCCCCAGCATGGCTGAGAAAGACCTGCTGAGGCATCCACTGGCTACTGGGAGGAGAGCATTAGATGTACCTTCTTAACAGCACTGTCCAATAGAAATATAATGCAAGCCACGTATATAATTTTAAATTTTCTAGTAGTTATATTTAAAAAGCAAGAAGAAGATGACTTCCACCCAACCCTGCTTTCAAATAAGCAGTACACTGGAGGACAATAGGAATCCTCAGAAAAATAACCTCCAGCTCTGAGGTGCTGATTATGGTAGGACAAGCAATACAGATCCAAACACGGCACAGGGAACTTAAGTTCCAAGAGAGAGAAAAAAATCGATAAAGCCAAGAAATAGCTCCCCTTTGACTTATTTTTAACCTGAGTACCCATCTATGCCAAGAGCTGTGCCGTTTTCGTATATCCCATGCCAAGATCTTAAGTAGGCTCTACTGACCAGAAGTTAAGAAACGTGCCCGAGGTAGGTTTTCGATGGAAGAGGCAGAATGAGAGTCACCCAACTTATACCTCAAAATTTCACAATTTCTACAAGCTCTGTCCTGGGAGACAAGGGTAGGTGAAATGAGCACCCTCTGCACCAGATAAACAAACCTCAACGCTTAGCCGCCCGACACCTCCTCGGACCGGAAGTCTCTCAGCAGGAAGCCGCTCCAGGCGCAACCTCCGTCCGGCAGTCCAATTAGCAGCCGCGACCCAGTGCCCGCCCAGGCCGAGTCACGTGTCAGCCAAAGATGGCTGCGCTCAGGCGAGTAGAGCTGTAGTGACCTCCGGCGTGGCTGCGGAAGACCTGAGGAGGCACCCACAGGCTAGTGGGAGGAGAGCATAAGGTACTGGTATTCCGGGGGAGGGGGTGCAGTAAATGTCCCTGTGTCAAGAGAAGCACCGTACGGTGACGCTAGCCACCAGCAGCGCTGCGCATAAATGAGGGCAAGTAGAAGTGGACTTGGCCCTATGGTGCTGTCTCTTCCTTTCCGCTCTAGAAGGAAGGCTCTCATATTTAAATTAACCCAATCGAAGGGAAAAACACCTGAGATTGAATTTAATCCCAGATTTACTGGCAATTCACAGGGTGACCACGGCCAAATTTAATTTTCAGAGGCCCCACTTTACCCATCTCTCAGATAGGCCCCACATTGCCTGTATCTCTCAGAGCTCTCCCAAGAATGACATGAGATAGCTAACACAAAAATCTTTAGAAATATTTGTAGTTTTAACAGGCGCCGTTGTCTTTGATAGGTATTTGTTATTAATATCGGAGACAAAATGCCCCGCAGGAGCTGCCCAGTCAGGACTTCTACTGAATGAAGGGTGACTCAACATACACAGTGTAGAAATGGATATTTCACAGCACTTTAAACCTCACCAATATGCAGAAAAAAGTAGTGATACCATTGAGCAGAATATGTTAGGGAAATCAGTTATTTCTGAACATATACATTTATGTGTGTGTATATGCATATATTGCTATCAGTACAATATATACATACTGAATTTGATTACATATATATTCCACCATCCCATACACAAAATCATTCAGAGCTCCTGTACAGCAGGGATTGTCTGTCATTTTAGTGTAGCCAAGGCCCTCAAAAATTGGACTCCCAAAAACCTAGACCTAAATTTCTAATTTACTTATTAGGTTAAGTCTAGAGATATGTCAGTGTATTCAGCATTTCCAAATGACCTCTTATCAATATAAAACAGGTAGCAATAAATATTTAAACGAGTGCCTGTAATGTTGTAGCAGATGAGAAAATCTGGTTTCATAAAACCATATTTTCTTTGTTGTTATCCCTGAACTTTTGGTTTTCTTTTTTTTTTTTTTGAGAGGAGTCTTGCTCTGTTGCTCAGGCTGGAGTGCAGTGGAGCAATCTCGGCTCACTGCAACAGCTGCCTCCTAGGTTCAAGTGATTCCCCTGCCTCAGCCTCCTGAGTTGCCAGGATTACAGGCGAGCACCACTACACCTGGCTAATTTTTGTATTTTCAGTAGAGATGGGGTTTCACCATATTGGTCAGGCTGGTCTCGGACTCCTAACCTTGTGATCCGCCCGCCTAGGCCTCTCAAAGTGCTGGGATTACAAGCCAGAGCCACTGTGCCTGGCCTTTGTTTTTCTTAACTGTTACCCTGAAACCTGTTTAATGAGCCAAATCTTTAGTATAAAACTCATCATTCACCATTCTCCCACTTTTAATTAACATTTTCACCCTAACTAGTGCACACATCAACAAACTACTGGTATGTAGGCCGGCCATATGCAGCCTATAGCTTGCCTCTGTACAGTCACCCAGTTAAGAATGATTTTTATGTTTTTATAGAGTTGTTTTTTTTTTTTTTTAAAGAATATTCAACAAAGGCTATGTTACCTGCAAAACCTACCATATTTACATCTGGCCCTTGAAAGTTTGCTGACTCCTGATCTCAGATATACCTATAAATGAAATAAGTTTTTTATGTTTAGCACTATTTGTGAATTGTTTAGGAAATAGTTTTAAGGATTATGAAGATATTCTGTGTTTCCTAAAAGCTTTATGTATTGCTTTTCATGTTCTGGTTTCTGTTTCACTTAATTTTTTTTTTCATATTTGCAATGATTTTTTTCAAGTTATTAGTTCTACAGTATTTTTAGTCTTCAGAAGGTTTTTACATTTTTTTCTATAAAATCTTGAGGAATTATATTTCATTTTTTAAGGCTCAAAATGGAAAATTATGAATCCAATAACCAGGAAAACATTTTTGAACTCGTAAACAGAAAAATTAACCAGCTTCCAGAAGCAGAAAGGTAAGAACTCTTCTTAATTTAAAAATACCTTTTATCAGGTAGATTTTCACCAGATTCATGATATCAGATTCATCTGGTATGAGTATAAACATGTAATGTCAGGAGGAAGTTGCCCTTTTCTTGCCTGGATGAGAGCATTTAACCATTTTGCTCAACATCACATAGCTAATTGTGGAAGTTGAGGTGGGAACTCATGTCTTTGGACATTATGTAATTGTATGATTTGAGTTTTTCCATTAGGCTTGGAGTATAGTAAAATGTAAACATTTATGGACCAATTTAAATAACAAAACTTTAAAATAACTTTTAAAATGTCTTTTTTTTCCAGTTCATTCTGTCATTATGGTTGCCATTCCGAGTATCATGGAACACACATAGCAAGATAGAGAATGTCAGAGAAATGAGATCATGGCTAAAGATCTTTAAGATATTATTAAAGAGGGCCGGGCATGGTGGCTCACGACTGTACTTGCAGCACTGGGAGGCCGAGGTGGGCAGATCACCTGAGGTCAGGAGTTCAAGATCAGCCTGGCCAACATGGCAAAACCCTGTCTCTACTAAAAGTACAAAAATTAGCCAGGTGTGGTGGCAGGTGTCTGTAATCCCAGCTACTCAGGAGGCTGAGGCAGGAGAGTTGCTTGAACTCAGGAGGTGGAGGTTGCAGTGAGCCAAGATAGCACTGTTGTACTCCAGCCTGCATGACAAGAGCAAGACTCCATCTCAAAAAAAAAAAAAAAAAGTATTATTAAAGAGAAAAATCAATGTAGGGAACATACTGATCTTTGCCAGGCAACTTCAGTGTACTTTGGTCTCTCTGACTATAAAAAGATGAAAAGGCCACCTGGGAAGGAGAGAGGGACAGTATCTTAAGTAGAGGAGATGGCATATGCCTAGCCACAAGATAGCCAAGGCTTGTGGTACTTGAGTAACCATTGTTTCTGAAGTACTAAGGAAGTGGGCATAAGAACCAGGAAGAGTTTTGAGCAGGGGAGTGATGTTAACATTTCTAAATAATATTCCAGCTGCTTTCAGGAAAGCAGATTTGAGGAAGGAGAGAAAGGAAATAGACCAGTAGAAAAAACAGCATAGTAATCCTGGTGAGTGGAGATCGTAGGGCTGGTGACAGTTGACATGAAAAGAGCATGGATTTAAAATACATTTTGGAAGCATAATCTTGCTATCTTTGGGAATAAAAACTGAACAAATTCCAATCTTGCTGCCACTTATTATATATCTTAATATAAATCAAGACCAGTAGTGTTCAGAACAAGGATCTCTGAAGGGAAGAAAAAAAAAGGCCAGTAGTAAGAACTTGGTAAGATTCGTCCCCCTCCCCACCCGGCAACTCCACTCCCTTGTTTTCCTAAGGCAACAGAAAAACTTTTAAAGCAAAAAGGAACTATGTCCATGTTTCCAGGCCAGCAAGATAGGGAAAGAGAGAAAGACTGACAAAAGAGTAAGGCAGGCACAGTGGCTCACACCTGTAATCCCAGCACTTTTGGGAGGCTGAGGCAGGCTGATCACTTGAGGTCAGGAGTTCAAGACCAGCCTGGCCAACATGGTGAAACCCTGTCTCTACTAAAAATACAAAAATTAGCCAGGTGTGGGGGTACATGCCTGTAGTCCAGGTGTGGAGAAGCTGAGACACGAGAATAGTTTGAAGTCGGGAGGCAGAGGTTGCAGTTAGCTGAGATCGTGCCACCATACACCAGCCTGGGTGACAGAGTGAGACTGTCTCAAAAATAAATAAATAAATAAATAGTAAAAATAAAAGTAAGAAAATAAAGTGGAGCACGGAAAAAAAAAAAAAAAAAAAAGTAGATGGTAGCAGCTTTGAAGAGAATAAAGCAGGCTGTCACTAGGACCTTTATCAAATTAGAAAGAATACCTGGAACTGCAAAGTAAAATTTAGAGGCAATAAATGCTTTCAATTATTGGCATCTAAACTGGGCAGATGACAGTGTCCTGTTATCTTTGCCTTGTTCCTATTTTTTCTCTTCATTTCCATTTTATCTTCTAAGTTTAAATCCTCATTCCTTCTTGGATTATTAATTAGGTATTTAACAGTTACTTGGTATGTCCTTCAGTGTATGGAGCTTTCTTATTATCAAAAACTTCATTTTCTGACCTACAGAATGCTTTCATATGCATGTTTGTCATTAAATTTGGACTATTTCATGTCTATTTCTTGTGTATATCTCTAAGTTTAAATCCTCATTCCTTCTTGGATTATTAATTAGGTATTTAACAGTTACTTGGTATGTCCTTCAGTGTATGGAGCTTTCTTACTATCAAAAACTTCATTTTCTGACCTACAGAATGCTTTCATATGCATGTTTGTCATTAAATTTGGACTATTTCATGTCTATTTCTTGTGTATATCTTATCAAAAAGTCATGAGTTTTTAGTTGGTATAGGCACTTTTTTTTGGAAAACTGGCAAGGGGCTGCTAGATAACAATTTTGTGCTAATTTTTAATTAAAAATTTTTTTAGCCATGGGAAAAATCTGCTTGGGAGATAGCAAAGTTTGCTATGCAGATTTCACTTGTACTACTATTTATTTGTATATATAACATATTTGTAAACAAATGGATTTATATATAATGTATATATTTTATATACATTATATATGCATATAGGCAAATTATTTACCTGAGCATTGGTTTTTAAAATGGGGATAATATACATTTGACATGATTGTTATGATGAAGTAATATTTTAGAGAAGTGTTAAAAGTTTTTTATTCCCCCAACCCCCAC